TTTATGCATATGAAAATAATGTTAATCGAAATTACGCACATGAAATACTTAGAACGTTTCGAGTCTCATCCACTCATTCTAAATCATTACCGAAACAAATTCAGGAATTAAAATAGAAATCCTCCTCAACGGAGTCGCCAAAATCTGTAGGGAATATTTCAAGCGTTACCCCTAACTTGAACCCCACTGTGATCATACACTAAAGTACGGTGGCGTCCAAAGGGAAAGAAGATAGAGCAAAAGAGTCGCCAACAAGTTTTTTAGGAACTTGTAAACCGTTCACGAGGTGAAGGTTACACCCCTTAACGATCCAAGAGATCGTCAACTCCATAAGGTCTTGAACCAAATAAGGGTTCGGGGATGAAGGTACAAATCCAACCTAAAAGAGATTGAACCTGCCCTAATAATAGGCCTCTACTTTATTCTGATCGTATTCATGTGCGCTTTTTGACTAACATGCAATCAATAGGATTAACCCTAAACCTGTTTAATCTATGTTGGTTGAACATTAATGCACAAATAAATCTATTATTGGCGATCACTTGAATTATAATCATATTAACCCTAAACAAGATTATTAATTATCTTATTAAGCATGATTACAAGTACAAATTCCCTTTAAACATGCATAAAAGGCGTGATCAAGCAATAACAATAAATATCAAGTAACATAATAATAATCATAATAATAAAATTATAATCATAACAATCATAATTAAGAATAATCATCATTATAACAATTGTAATCATAAAATCATAAAGTATAATCATAATAATAATCATCATTATAATAATAATAATAATAATAATAATCATAATAATAATCATCATGTTAAAGCATAGCAAGATCCTAGACATGATACTAACAAGATTAATAACAAACCCTAGCATGTCACTAAGCAATAAAAATCAAATATTTAACCCTAACATGATACTAACAATCATAGATATTAGGAAGAACATAAAAGGCATTGTACTTTTAATCATACTTGATATTAAATTTACCCTAGACATGATACTAGGAATCAAAATAACAATCTAAGCATGATTCTATATCATAACATCAATAAAAACATTAAAGCACTTACTTTGATGCCTCGTACCTCTTTCTAATAACAAAATACACACGTTAGTAACTTCAAGGAAAATAATAAAATCAAAACAATTAAACTAAATAATTGAAATAGAGATTTGGGACCAAACCCTCAGAAATTAAACCTTTCACGTCTAGGGCGAAGGCAACTTCGAATATGGCTAGGTGTTTTTGGATCTAATGAATGCGGAATTTCGTATGTAAAAAGCGAGTTAAGAAAAAGAGAGAGATGGTGAACGATTAGAGAATGGAAACTGGTTGTAGGTGAATGAAAATGGAGTTTTTACGACGTTATTTATAGAGAAAATCAGCCAAAAAGATAAAATTATCAAAACAAAGTCTGGCACACAGAAAATAGAACTAGCGCCAATGCTGGCTGTTGGCGCCAGGCGCCAACGTTAGCGCCAGGCGCTACAGCTGGCGTTTGGCGCTGATCTGGAAAATTACGCAGTTTCTTAAAATCAGATAAAAATTGTCGTACAGGAGGATAAATCGTATTTTCCTCAAAAATGCTCTTTGATTTTAATTAAAACTCTGAAAAGTCAACAAAAGTCAAATTATCAATGCTAATTGAATTAGGAATGAAAAGAACCTTCTAGAAGAATCTAGAAAACTAAAACCATTCCTAATTGCATTAGGAATGATAAATCTGTATTAGGCCATCTCCTAGATCATTGGGCCGCATATAAGGCTCAATCCAGGCCCAGTTTAGTAAATTGGCCATAACTTCCTCAATATTCATCGGAATTGGGCTTATAATATATCGTTGGAAAGCTCTTGTCAAACCCCATCCAACTACACTACTATTGGACCCATATCATGGACCAACCAAACCGGATTGGCTGTTTTCTTAAAATAAGTTTTCAAAAACAGAGAAAAGAAATTAAAACCATCCGCAACACTGAACTTTCCATACTTTCACTTCATTCGATTATGATTCGACGCGAAAGGTACTCATAACCGGGTTTGGTTTTGGGCAGAAACAAATGGGTGTCTACAGATATGGAGAAAGCATGTAGAGAATGGAAAGATGATGTAGATGGAGAGATATGAAAAAAAATTAGGAATAGAATGTACCCCCAACTCAAATGACGGAAAAAACCGACTCATGCATGCACCTAAGTTATGGTCATGGTGTGAAAAGAGTATATACAAAGTGTGTGCTAAGACTAGTGAGTGTATGTGACATGTTAAGACTCGTGTCATGACCATGTGGCTAGACTATGTGACTAGACTCAAGCAAAGACTAAGTTAAGACTTCATGTATATGCATTAAACTGGACAAGCTGTGGTATTTTAGTCATAACTTTTGATCTGTGACTCTGATTGGGATGAAACCAACTCCAAATTACAGATACAACTCGGGGCTACAGATCCATAGGTAGTTCGACTCGTAGTTCTTCCTAGAACTCCGGCGATGACCAAAACAAGTTGACACTTGTGCAGTATACGGGAATAAAAATCCGGGTTGACTTAAAGGAACTATGACTCGATTTAAGGTTTATTTTTTTAGCTCTAATTAATTAAGCAAAGCCCTTTAGTCATTGGTTAGTTTATTAAGACTTATTTACAAACACAAGTCAAACTAAACGGTTAGGAAAAACATATAGAGTATGCACAACAAATAATGCACAAGTAGTCAAGTAGTCACAATATGATGCAATGAGTTTGCAACCTAACCATGGCTCTAGTTCTCTAAAGTTCAGGATATGGGTTAGTCAAATAAGGCCATGGTTATGAGTTCGGATGCACCGCGCGGAAGCCTTACCTTTGGAAGGGTTGACGCGTGTGGATGGGACCCCGCGAGTTAAACTCGCTTCCATGGTTTGGTGAATTCAACATTCTCGGATGTACCCTTTGTTGCATAGAGCGTTCAATCAGGTAGATGGAGCATGAATTCCAATATGTCCATATGTAGAACACATATGGGTTTCAGAAAAGTGAGAAAAACTTAATCAGGAAGTAGGATCGAGCCAACTGTGATAGAACTGGTCAAAATTAGAACTCATATTTCTGGCTCGGTATTGGAAGAACGCAGCACCAGCCAACAGAGAACGTCGACGCAATATATCCCTGTCGCCTAACGACAAAAGTGTCGCTTGGCGACAGAGCCATGTTATCGGCGACAGGCTCTGTTTGCTAGACGCTAGTTCCTACATGCTTCAGCAGCTTTCTGTGTTCGATAAAATTTTTTAGTTTTTCGCAACATTATTTCGATCCTAGTTGTGAAAGATATTCCTCAAATTTCCTACGTGTAAAAATCCTATATTTTTAACTCATTACGGATGGTCTTTCCAATGAGATCTTTTTTATGCATATGACAATAATATTAATCAAAATTATGCACATGAAATACTTAGAACGTTTCGAGTCTCATCCACTCATTCTAAATAATTGCCAAAATAAATTTCAGGAATTGAAATAGAAATCCTTCCCCAGTGGAGTCGCCAAAAACTGTAGGGAATATTTCAAACTTTACCCCAAACTTGAACCCCACTGTGATCATACACTTAAACATGGTGGCTTCCAAAGGGAAGGAAGCTAGAGAAAAAGAGTCGCCAACAAGTTTTAGGAACTTGTAAACCGTTCACAGGGTGAAGGTTACACCCCTTAACGATCCAGGAGATCGTTAACTCCAATAGGTCTAGAACCATGACTAGAAGTTCGGGGATGAAGGTACACATCCAACCTAAAAGAAATTGAACCTGCCCTAATAATAGGCCTCTACTTTATTCTTCTCGTTTTCATGTGCCCTTTCTAACTAACATGCAATTATTAGGTTTACCCTAAACCTGTTTATCCTATGTTGGGTGAATATTAATGCACAAATAAAACTATTATTGGCAATCACTTGAATTATAATCATATTAACCCTAAAAAGATTATTAATTATCTTATTAAGCGTGATTACTGAAGGAGTTATGTCTTCGTCGTGTGCAATTACTAGATGTATAAATGGATCAAATTATGGAGATGATTAAGTTCGTACATTTGGGTCGTCGTTTTGCCATAGCTAGAGGTACTAACGATCTTTGGACTAGTAAAATAGCCCAAAGTCCAATTGGACGGATCCTATAAGGTCACACAAAGGGGCTAGATCGAGCTTTAGAGGACGAGGCCCGTCATGGGCCTCATCACTCTAGGTGGCCGGCCATACGGGGATTAAGAAGTGGTTTTGGGCTTCGTGCCCTAGTCTAATTATAATGAGATTATAAATAGACTATGTGCCTAGGTTTGCAGTAAGGAAGCAATTAACTGATCAGTGTGATCAAACCCTAATTAGCAAACACGAAACCCAACCCCTCTCATAGTCCTCTCCCTCTCACGGCTCTCTCCTCCACTAGTACAAAACTAACCTTAAGTAACACCCAAAAAGTGTTACATAAAGTGGTAAAAGTATTATTATAGACAATAGGTAACACTTTAGTGGGTAATACGTCCGCCCGTGTACCTAAGGTCTTATGTAACACTTTGGGTAACCTATGGTAACACTTTTAAAAATGTTACTATAAACTCTCTTATGTAACACTTTATTATATTATTAGTATCATTTTTAAAGTGTTACCTTTTATTTCTTATGTAACACTTACTTATCTTTAGTAACATTTTTCAATCATCTAGTATCACTTTATCCGACATTATGTATCACTTTTCTAGACTAATGTAACACTTTATTGATTATTAGGTAACATTTTTCAATCATCTTTGAACATATTGTAGCACTTTTTTCGACATTATGTATCACTTGCTACAAACTAATGTAACAGCTTATTAATTAATAGATAATATTTATTATTATTATTATTATTATTATTATTATTACAATTATTATTTTATTATTATTTTTAAAATATAAAATTAGTATTAAAATGTACAACAACTATGAATGAGAAATTAACATATATGATGGACAACAATTTGGATTGAAATAATTTCACAAGTCTTATAAAAAAAATTCATAAACACCAAATTTAATGTTTGGCCAAACAATATAATAATCCAAACAAAAAGAAAATCAACTTCGATCTCTAGCTTGGAAAAGTGAGGAAATAAGAAAAACTTCCAAATTTCAAAAAAAACAGTCAGCGATAATAACAGCAAATAGCGGCAGCAGCTAGCTAGCAGACCGGCAGCAGCTATAACAGACCAGCACACAACATTATGTGACAGCAAACATCAGTAGCAGACAGTAGTGGCAGCAAATGGCAGTAGCTGTGGCAGCAAATGGCAGTAGCTGTGGCAGCAACAGACAGCAGTAGCAGCAAAAAAAATAGCAGTAACAACATCAAAACAGCAGTAGCAGCAGCAAAACAACAGTAATAGTAAGTGCTTCTTGTAGCATCATCACTTGTATCCCAATTCTTCATCTTGATCCATTTAATTCCATAGGTGAAAGCATCATATATATATAACATCTAGAGCAAAAATATAATAACGCAATAATAAGAGTTAGTGCTTATTCGTTTGTTTCAAGCCCTTCATCGACTCTTTCATTTCATAAGCCATGGATATAACCCCCAAATCCTTCATTGTGCTTCTATTTTGTTCTATCCCTGCTTGTCTAAGTTTTTCATATTCTGCCATCTAGATCTTGCTTCCTACAAAGAACACACAAGACAGTCAGTTGACGGACATTATTGATGACAAACATATTTTCAGAGTATCAGACCCCTAGCAGATTATTAGTCTGATGTTCAGAGTTTACATTTCTAATTCCACCTTCCTGATTTACCTCAAAAGAGAGTGGCCAGAACAAAACTATGTCCAATTTTCACTGTTGGCAGATTATAAAAGTGGCCAGAAAAATACTATAGTTTTCATTCACCATTGAGGAACAATGCATACAAACTTGCATTACATCCATGAGGGGCTGTAACTAGTCAAATAGGCACATTTTTACATCAAAATTTGCAAAATAGATATAGAAACAAAATTATCATGGTAGATTATATGATACACATTTTTGGTATTTCTTCATCTCAAAATATGATGAAAATAGAACCGTACAGCCTTTACATATTCTATGTACGCATAAATTCTTAACAGTAAATCATTTAGGAGAGTCACTATAATAAGTCTGATTCCTACAGCCATTAGGGCATGCTAATTTAGCTATTTTCGAATAACTAATAGCTTCAAACATTATCCCATTTAATAGATGAATTAGTGTTTGATTATTTGTGTAAGCAATTTTCAACCTGATTGGTCCTGTGTTACTGTCAAGGGTTGTTCGATTCCTATGTAAATATGACAAAATGGAAATGATCAAGTGAGAGTAATCATTGTATTATTCATGGGTTGAATTATTAATAACTAGAATTGATATTTGCTTAATTGATACACCATGTTAAACATGTTTTAACGCTAATGGAAACATACCTACTAGGGAAAGTTCATATATGACTAGCTCACAGATATTGCAGGCATTAAGTTCAAATTCAAGGTTTTCTCCCTACATGGATCAGATGCATGCATTTAAGTCACAAATCTATGCATTGACTTTGTTCTGTAGAATTATGCATGCATGTCATAGGACCTCTACTGGTCACTTTCACTGATTAGAATACGAGTTTAAGAGCTTATTACCTTTGTTAGGCAGTAAAGATCTCACCTGACTACAAATTCGAGCACCTGAGTAACTGAGCACAAAAAGAGTACCTGAGCACTTGACTTCACATAAGAGCTAGGACATGCAGAATTCAGACTATTAGCAAGATTAATTTACCTCAGACTATTAGCAAGATTGATAGTCTCCCTATAGAAGCTTACTAATACTCAATAATTTGATACTAAAACATCCCAAACTACGCTTGAAGCTTACTAATACTCAATTAATAGTCTGCCTATAGAAGCTTATAAATAGTCTTCCTATAAAGCTGAGTTTGAGGTAAATTAATCTTGCTAATACTCAATTATTTGATACTAAGACATCCCAAACTACGCTTGAAGTAGCAAGTATTTGTCTGCCTATAAAAGCTTACTGATTGCTTCTTTTTATTTTCAATTATATCAGGTGGGCTCATGGCTTTGAGTTCAATTTTTATGGTCTGTAATTCTCTTCTATTGCAGCTCCATGATTCCGACAAAGAGAAGAAAGAACCTGCCTCAGGACTTCTGAAGCAAGTCTGAACTTATTCATCGGGATTTCCCTATTCATTTATAGAGATGATACCTTGACTCCAAAACTCACCATACTCGGCTGATAGGTTTCTTCTACGACATGGTCATTATTTTGGCACTACACAGGCTGCATTTGAAGAGATTATATTTCTAGCTTAAGAACTATCACATTTCTGGCTGAAGAACTATCACACTAAACAGGGAAGAATATCGCACTCTAATGATTAAACAAATAAACAGCATAAACAAAATCATATTTATCAAAGATCCTAAACCACTGAGAAGCTATGATTAAAGCAAATGACAACATAGAGTTGTACGTAAGCTCGTAACTAAAGGATCTTAACTGCAAAGCTCGTAACTCCCCTGTTAACATCAGTGAAACTAAAGGATAACTCGATATTTAATTTGAGCTGTGTTTTTAACTCTTAAGTCCCCGGTTAGATTAATTATGCATGACAACAAGTACAAACACATAATACTGAAGAGAATAAAATCAGACCCAAAAAACAGAAACAGAATTCAACCAGTTCACAATTTCCGTCTTTTAAGAGGAAGGAATTCTCTCCCAAAACTTCTACTTACAACTTTTTTGAATGATCTTACTACCCTTCCCTCCCTTCTATTTGTTACAAAATTCACTTATAACAAACTAATAGTGATAACAAAAATAACAAACTCCCCCAAATTACTTGATTATTCTTCCTCTAACAAATCCAGTAACAGAACTCCACATCATCTAACAAGTTGCATCAAATTGCTGATGGTTTGGGATTTATCTCAATTAATTAGAACACTTTCGATTAATAATTTTAAAGATTAAATCTAAACAATAATAGCCAAAGGTAAAAAAAACTAAAAACAATTGAGACTGCAAATTAGTAAATATTCCATCATCTATTTCAGATAATTATCAAATTGCAAATTACATGGAAACACAAATTTTATAATCGAAATCAAAAAAATTTATCCAAATAAAATAGAAAATTTTTCCTCTTGGAGTTTGAAATCTACAGCAGCAGTAATCACATGCATATTTCCAACACCTAGGGTAGTAAAAATTAAGTTTACTGGCAATAGTTCAATAGAAATTAAATATAAGCAATAGTTTATTATAATAATTGAGTTTAAAAGAACACTAAATTGAATATACTTACAGCTAAATTAAGAATAAACCCTAGATTGCGAAGTTGAGATTCGATAATTGCATAGAGAATCAACTTTACCCGAGAGAATTCACCTCAATTGATATCATAATTTGGCTCAATTGATTTCAGATGAGGTCGCCTCAGAGGAGAACATGGAGTGTGCTTCATTGGGAAAGAGAGGAAAACGAGGAGTTGTACGTGTTGGAGGCCGAGGTCTACGGTGGATGAGGGCTCTGGTGGAGGAGAGCTATGGTGGAGCACTGGTGAGGAGGCGGTTGCAGTGGAGGGGGCTGTGGTGGAGAATGCAGTGCGAAGAGAGACTAAAATAATGAAATGCGAGTGAGTTAGAAAGAATCGAAATGCCAATAATAAGTTTAAGGAGCTAATGAAAAAAGGGCATTTCTTTTTCTAAAAAAAAAATTAAAATAATACCTTCAGTTAGTGAGCATACTTATGTATCAAAGTGTTACAATAGTGTTACTTAATATCAAAGTGTTACAATAAAGTATTACTTAATATTAAAGTGTTACAATCAAGTGTTACCTAATGTTAAAGTGTTACAATAGTGTTACCTATAACTTAGTACAATCTCTAGCTTTCAAAGTGATACCATGTGATGTTACCTTAGGTCATTTTTGTACTAGTGCTCCTCCTAGGCTCCGGTGGTGTGTCGTGGTGGTGGTGGTTCGTGCGGTGGTCGATTGTCCATAAAGGTGGTGATCGCGGTTTTCCTCAATCACTCGGCCAATCTAGTATTGGTGGACGACTCGTTCGAATCTCGTGGACTAAGTAGAGGAGCAACGCTTGGGGCTCTATTCTCTTCCTGATTTGCCTGTCGAATAGCTTCGTGGAATTCACGCGTCAAAGGTATGATTATGTGTCTTGTGTGTTATGCATATAATCTTGGGATTGGTACTTGATTGAATATGATTCATGTTTTTTCGCTGCGTAGTACCTATAAACTCCTACAGTGGTATCAGTTAGCCTCTTGCATGAACGCGCTAGATCATAATAATACGATTATTTGATGTCCACGTTAATTTTATAATCAATTAAGAGGGAGAAATTAATTTAATTATGGTTCAATTATTATATTTAATGTGATTAAACTTTTGGAATCGATTAAATATGATTTAATTATGCTCAAAATAGCCATGAAGAGACCGAATTTTAGCCCTAATTGTTCGAAATTTTTGAACCCCATAACCCTAAATTTCGAATTTTTCGAAAATTCTAGCCCTACAATATGATTTTGTGCTTGATTTTGATTTAATTCGATTTATTTTATGATTCATAATTTTAACCGGATTGATTTATGCATAAAAATGTTTTATGTATGATGATCAATTTAATTTTAAAAGTTAGAATTAAATTGGGATTAATTTTATGAAGAACCCTAATTTTAAAGTTGAATGTGATTTAATTTTAATCTTTTGGACTGATTTAATTTAATTTTAATAAGTGTTATATTAATTAAATTAAAACAGAAAAAAAAAATTGTTTTAGGTGGTCAGCAACCGCGGCTGAGTGGCGCAGCCACGGCGGCTGCCGACCAGGTGGTAGTCCGAGAGGGAGTGAGGGAGGGCAGGCGGTCAAGGGCGGTTGTGGGCAGCAACGTGCAAGCGTTGCACGGCTGCTGCCACGGCTGCCAGAGCAACTGCCCGCTGCTACCTTGCGGCAGTGGCTGCTGTTATGGCAGCCAGCCACCGTGGCTAGCTTCGGCTAGCCAACCATGGTGGCCGGCGGTGGTGGCTTGCGGTTTTTCAAAAATAAAAAAAAAATTATCTTATTTTAAAAATTATTTCAAGATAATTGTGAATTATTTTGGGATAAAATCAGTTTTATTTTGGATAAGATAAAATATTTTGAAAGTATGATCTTTTATTTTAAAAGATAAAAACGGTTTTATTTGGATAAAATCTTTTATTTTAGGATAAAATCAAATATTCAAGAGTTGTTATATTTGATATTATCCATATTTAAAGTTGTTAAATTGGTAATTATCCTAATTAAAGTGGTTAATTTTGGATAAGATTGATTAGGATATTCTGAGCATATTCCAAAAGGATAATAATTGATTTAAATAATGTGATTATCCCATAATTACTACCTCCGTTACACGTTAAGTGCAACATTTTCCAAAAAGGGATGCTACATATTATCTGCAACAAATGAAAACTTTCCTCTTTTAGTAAATTTTTTTGTTTTAAATTACCAACCTACCCTTACTTAACTTTAATAAACACATCAAATCATATGTTATTAACTAATCAAACAAAATTAATTCATCACTTATTAAATTCCAAACCCACATTCTCTCTCCTTACTCACCACCACATCCACCAAGACCACCACTTTTTCTCTCTCCTCCCTCTAAATCACCACCACTTTTTGTCTCTCTTCTTTTCTCTCTTCTATCACAACCACCGCACCACCACCACCGCTGCCCCTCCTCGTCAGAGTCGCTGCCCCATCTCCCCCTTGTTAGAGTGCTGCCATCTTCTCTTCACATGTAAAGTCGTCACCATAAATTGAAACCCAAAAAAGAGAATTTGAGATTGAGCTTGAAAACTTAGATCTAGAGCAAAAATGGTGAAAGATGGAACGATTCCAGAGGAAAGGTGTGGTGGTGGTTACAGGGTGGGTGTGGGGTAGCTTCGCGGTGTGGATGCGAGTTAGGTGGGGTGGATTTCGGATCTTGGTGGTGGCGAGAGGGTGGTAATGGCAGGATTCGGGTAGGTTAGTATGCTGGTATGGTGGTTTTGCTTTGTTGGTATGGTTTCGGTTGTTCATATGGTGATTTCGGTGGTTTTTTGTGGTTGGTATGCTGGTTTCTATGGTGGTTGTTGTGGGTGGTGTACGCAGGTAGTGGTGGACTGGTGGTGCAGTAGGTGGTAGTGATGATGGGATGGAGCTTTTTAATTAATTAATTATCCAATAATCACATGCCCATACTTTTGTTGATTAGCTTTTTCATTTTTTTTTCTTGGGAAATGTGCAACCCCCTTTGTTGCACTTAACGTGTAACGGAGGTAGTAGATTAGGATATAATTGATTTTAAAATTATTTGATTGGCTAGTAATTAGGATAGAATCTCCTAAATTTGTTAGGATAATCATGAAAGATTAAATATGATTTATCTTTCTAGATTAAAATATGATTTGATTCTATCTCATGACTAAATTAAATATATGATATTTTATGAACGGTCATGAATAATATATGATATTATCTAATTATGATTAAAATATGAGATATTTTAGGAAATGCGTTGACTTTATTATGAACATTCGATGTTGTAGTTTAGACAAGCATGTTGAGTGATTTATTATATGGCACTTTTACATAATATTTGATATTATATTGCTATATATAGACTAGTATGGCCCATAGATTCTTAAATACGGTCTGCGCATCGTGATGTATTTTTGTAATCTAAAATACGGTCTGCGTACCGTTAAGTATTTTTGTAACTTTTATTTAAAGTAAATAGAATAGTTATTTGAATAGTGTTGGTCCAAAGAACCCCATGAAGTGAAGGCCCAAAGGAGCAAGGTGGATGGAGATCCATGACGATTCAAGTGGGAGCTTTTTCATTTCTAGTTTTCTTAGGACTAAGGGGCCATACTATGTCATGATTTATTGCATTAGTAGATTATGCATGTTAGATTATATTTATGTTGATTGATGATGCGTTAGAGTTCACTGAATAATCACAACATAATAAATCTAGGTCCCAGTAATATTGAGATTGCTTTTCCAATTAAAAACCCGATGAAACCTTTGATATTTATGATGGGTCATGCCAAAGCTGGGTGTCATATTATATCTTAGGGGAGTGGGGGTAAAACAAATTTTACACTTTTAATTGGCTGTGCTCAACAAGGTTACCTAAAGAGTTTAGAACCATGAAGCAAAGGGAAATAATTAAACATGTGATGATTAATTATTCAACCAAGAGTTACAAGAGTTGTAATCAGTAAAGAGTTTACTCACCTTGAAAATGTAATGGTTGATGGTAGAGCCAAAGTCCGGTCAATTATTGCACAAATAAAGGATCTTGGAATCACTTAAATTCAATTGGGATCAATTAATTATTGAATAAAGTGTTTTAAAGTTACCAAATGAATGCGTTTATGGTACTTTAATTTTAAATTAAACATAATTATTAAACTTTGCCTTATTTTGACATAGATGGGTAGCCGTAATCACAATGACAACAACGTTTACAACCTTCGACCATTCCTTGAGAAGGATAGGTTGACAGGGGATAACTTTTCCACTTGGGAAAGAATGCTAAGACTTGTTCTGAAATCTGAGGGTAAAGAGGATATCATTGACACCCCATTGCCAGGACCTCTGCCAGAAAATCCAACTGCGACAGAGATCAAGAAGCACAAGGAAGCTCATGACAGAGCTATACCTATCACTTGCTTAATGATTGCTACCATGGAACCTAGTCTTCAAAAGCGTTTTGAGGACCAGGATGCCTACTCAATCATGCAAGAACTCAAAGCTTTGTTTAAGAAACAAGCTAGAGTGAAAGGTATGAGCTCCATCGTGAGATTCTGGATTGTAGGATGGAGAAGGGAGCCACAGTTCATGATCATGTTTTCAAAATGATCGGCCTAATTCAAAGTATGGAGAAACTGGGGCACCCATATAGTGATGATTTGGAAATAGACATCATTCTCCATTCACTACCAGAAAGTTTCAACCAGTTTATCATGAATTTTAACATGACTGCCACTACAAAGACTATGAATCAATTGCATGCAATGCTGGTTAGTGCTGAGAAACAAATCCCTAAGGAACCTAAGAAGGAAGTTCTTATGATTCAAAAGGGAAAGGGGTTCAAGAAGAAGGGGAAAAAGACTAGTGCCAAGAGCAAGGGCAAGCAAGTTGCCAAGGCTCCTGAAAAGCCTAAGACGACTCCAAAGCCCAAGGCTGCAAGTGAAAGTGAATGCTTTTACTTTAAGAAGAAGGGGCATTGGAAGCGAAATTGCCAGAAATACCATGACTTCCTTAAGAAGAATGGAGCATCAACCTCAGGTATAATGTTATAAACATTTTAACATTCACTTAGGTATGTGATACCAAGTTGCAGTGCTTAACATAGTGATGTTGTGCAGGAACTGCAAACAAGTGAAGCTAGCATGGAAATGGAGCTTGAAGGTGCACTAGAGGTATTTGAGTGGCCAGAGATAGCTTCATAGTTTTAAATTTTGATTATTTATCATGATTTTAGAACAATTTCCAGTTTTGATAAGACAATATTTCGGTTTACTTGTTTTGAATACTGAATTTAGTTTACTTGGCTTGGACAAGTGTTGATCCATGACCAAGGTAATAAATTGTTTTCATTTTGCTAGATATGAGTTAATTTTGTTTTATGACATTGATATAAGTAGATCACAAAAG